ATGAACAAAGACATGGATTCCAATCCCAATATACTGTATTTATGTCTACAGATGCACAAAACCCAGGTATCACTGATTATGATTTTTATATCTATTGCACATATTTACAGTAGGTGACACTGGTCAAGATGTTTTTTTTTTTGTCTTCTTTGTAACCTCCTGGGATGTTTGGAATCACCCTTCTAGCAATTGTGATGATGTCATCTGTTCAGACATGCAAAGCATGCTTCACTTTGAGCTTGACTTAACCTCCAGGGCTAATATAACTGACCTAGATTATGTGCCACATAAAACTAGGCAGCTCTTAAAATGAGATTTTTCTGAATGCTCTTTTCAGCCTAGCGGTAGGCCTCATCCTGAGCAAAAATCTGGCTTTGGGAACACATTTCGCTTTGTCTCATTGACACTACAAAGTAGCCGAATCCATTGGATTTGCTTGAGAGCCTCTGACTTGGTTTGTGATGAATGTTTTTTTTTAAATGTCTGAATACAATCCTACACATTACTGTGATATTGAAATAATAATAAGGGAGAGAAAAATAGAAGCACACATATTTGAACCCATGAAATGTCATCTGAATCCCACAGGTTATTTGTATAATCATGTGGTTTGACAAGAGAACTCGTCCATTATACTGCTAGTCTCAGCAACATTTGGTCCAATTAGGTTGATGTTTAGAATGCACATCTTAAATCACAACTGCCCTCAGCAAAAACTGAAGATAAATGTTTGTACCTAAGAGGATAACCATGTACACTGACAAATTACATAACCTAATATGAACAAGTTATGGCCTTTTTTCAGAGTAGCATGGACAAAGTTTGGCTTAAATGTGATTTTGTTAAATGATTAGATTTGTGACAATATTGTGTGCCTTTAATGGCTGTGTTTCCCAGTCAGGTGTACATCTTCTCATTGAGCTCATGTTATTTAAATGTAACTTTACTGTAGAGCAGTGAAAGGAATAATATGTGATGGATAATGTACCGGTCATTATCACAAAATAAACTGGGTGATTAGGACGCTGATGCAGAGTGACTACTTAAATAAATAAATAAACTGACATGAAATACATACACTACCCTTCAAATGTTTGGGGTCAGAAAGAATTTTTTAATGTTTTTGAAAAGTCTATTACACATATGCTCACCACGGCTGAATTATTTTGATCTATAATACAGTAAAAACAGTAATATTTTGAAATATTATTACAATTTAAAACGACTGTTGTCTATTTTAATTTGTATTATTTTAAAATGTAATATTCTTGTGATGAGCATGAATTTTCAGCAATCATTCTAATACGCTGATTTGCTGCTCAAGAAAAATTTATTACTATCAATGTTAAATATTTTTGTGGAAACTTTGATACATTTTTTACCAGGATTCTTTGATGAATAGAAATTTGAACAGCCTTGAAATATAAATACTTTGGAACATGATACATGTATTTACTGTCACTTTTGATCAATTTAATGCAATTTAACCCTTGCTGAATAAAGTTATTAATTTCTTTCAGAAGACTCTTAGTGACCCCTTGTGTGAACTTTTGAACTAAAGTGTATATTTAATAATTTATGTAGGAAATTGGTTGTAAATTGTGTTTTATATTGTAACTGTATGACAGCAATAAATTCATAAACACAAAATTCCACAATGGAAGAGGTGCTAATATGCATCCTTTAGTGGAAAATAAGGTACAAAGATGTCAATAGGCCTTGGCCATTGTCATTACTGAGCCCTGATTTGACCATAGAATACCATGATTGATCAGTCAGAAGTAAATATTCTAAAGAGCCAATATTATGCACTTCTCAGTCCCATTACTGGTTTATGAAGTGCTGCATTAATAGATGCAAGAGGTGTTTATGAGTAGCACCTCTGGAAAGGCTTTGGTCAGCTGTGGTGTGCTAGAGGGACTCTACAATATGGGTCAGTGTGAAGGGTTTCATAACAGACCTGCTTTCTTAATGTCTGCAATAGCACATACACTTGAAGAAAAACATGTGACAGTTCCTTCCACAGCAGCTTTCCTCCCCCATCTCCCTCAGCACATATAAACTCACTAATGGTGCTTAATAGCACTGCAGGAACAGCAAAATGAGAGTGAATCTTTGATGAAAAGGAGTGTGACTGCAAACTAGCTGCAATAAGACATAAAAATCCTGGGGTTTTACACAGCAGAGGCTAAAGCTGTGGTTGTGCTTCCAGTCACTTACTGTGTCTCAATCTAAGAAGCTATCAGACAGCATTGTGTGGATCAGCCCATCCTGTTGTGCAGAGAGGATGTCATGCACAAAGGCCAGGGTTAGCTGGATTTCTGCTCTCAGAAAAAAAAAAGAAAATATGCAAAAATGGTACCTGTAGGAGTGCAACAGCTTGTGGGGCAACTCTGTATCTTATCTACCACTAAAAGGTTTACCTTAAAGGGATAGTCCATCCAAAAAATGAAAATTGTCACCATTTACTCACCCTCATGCCATTTCAAACCTGTATGACTTTCTTTCTTCTGTGAAACACAAAAGAAGGTATTTTGAAGAATGTTGGCAACCAGTTCCCAACGGTTCCCATTGACCTCCATTATATGGACAAAAAATACAATAAAATCAATGGCAACCAAACATGTTTGGTTACCAACATTCTTCAAAATATCTTCTTTTGTGTTCTGCCAAAAAAAATAAAAAGTCGTACAGGTTTGGAATGTCATGAAGGTGAGTAAATGATGGCAGATTTTTCATTTTTTCATTGCTACTCTGAAGTACCAACATGCACCTCTCAGTGGTATATAAGGTACAAAGTTGTCCCTTGTGACAAGCTGTTTTAACCATTGTACAATTTTTGCACATTTGTGGGCGAGTGTGGGATCAAGAGATGTTCGCCTGATTGATTTCACCTCATACTGGTCTACACAGTTCATGATCTGACCGCCGTTCTGTAGCTTGTGAATTATTCACTTTGACTATTTTTTCACAGGAGTCCCCATTAACATCTCTTCTCATCAGTGGTTCTGTATTTTGCAGGAGGATGAGGTGCCTGAGCTGGAAATAGATGTGGATGAGCTGCTGGACCTGTCCAGTGATGTCGAGAGAGCCATTCGAGTGAAGGTCTAATCAGATCTTTAATACATTTACTTGATTCTGTTCGCTTCAGATATCTCCTCGTAAGAATATTAACGTTCCCACAAGACCGAATTGTGCTGTAGTACCCCTCTGACATTTCATCTGCAGGTGCTTTGACAGTAATCCTTCAGCTCGCAAGCTCTTTTTGAAGACTGAATTTTCAGCCGGAGATTTATTTCAGCATTTTGCGTCAGCTTTCCGCTTTCATTGGTACACAGTTGGAAAAACAGCAGATTAGTCTGAAAGGCATTAATTCTCTTTCCATTTTTGTTTTCAGATGCTGCTGGTCGACTGTTATAAGCCTAATGATGTAAGTGCCATTTTGAACATTAATAGCATTAGCAATTACCTTCATTACAGGCGGTCATGATATTCTCAGAGCCACTGAGTCACTCATTACAATGCGATTATGCTTCATTTAATCACACTCTGGACAGAAATATGCTTTTTCTTGCCATAATTCTCACTCTGGCCACTTGCAGGATTTCGTAGCGGCGTTGCTGGAGAAGGTCCGAGGGATGCAGAAACTCAGCACCCCGCAGAAGAAAGGGGAGCTGACGCCATGACGTCACCACAGCTCCTCCCACCACCACAAAACCAACCTGTCACTCCAAACCCAGAGGAGAGATGCAGGCACGCAGACCCAACCACTAAACCACAGCGTCTGTCAAATGGAAATCAATGATACGAGTCCAGCCAAGCCAATCTCAGCTGCAGGTTGAACACTACAAACTGTTTTTACTTCGTCTTAGTACTGTTTCAGCATATCTTACATGTAGAGAGTGTGGTAGTGTCCCTTTAGCTTAAAACTCCCGTGGTGATTTAGGGAAAGGAATCAAATGGTTGATGTTACAGTTACAATGTTCACTAATACACTTCTTTCAGCCACTTGACTTGGCTTGATGTGTCCGTCTGTAATCGAGTAGGAAATTAAGCCGATTTCTTTTCACCCCCTTTTTTGTCGGTCTCTCACATCTGCTGTCTTTCGTAAGGGCGGAATAATTTTTTGCAGGCCAGAAAATAGTTTGTAGATGTGGGGTTTCAGGTTTTGGGGTGTGTTGATGTAATGCGGGAAGAGGGAGGGGGGGATGAGAATTGTGAACTTGTGTTTTGTAAGCCATTTTTAATCTACCATTTTTAGGAAAAAAACACAGGTCTGTGTTTAGTACTACTGCTTTTAAAAATCATTAGACTGAGGAAAATGTAAACTAGTTTGAGGATGAAGAGTAGCAATATCGATAGAGTGAATTTGCCAATTTGTTACATCTGATATTTTTACTAATCTTTACAAAAATGAAGAGTATGCCTAATTGTGATGAAGGCTAAGAATGAAAATGCTTTGGTGGTGGAGGCCAAGGTTAATGCTAAATAAAGCTCAAAGCCCACATATCTTTTGTAAATAAAACGTTTATTCAATTTCAAGTGAACCAGATTTGAGAAATGCAAATGTTAATGATCAGAACTTGTTGGAATGGCAGAACCTGTATTGTGCACTCTCACAACCAAATACGTGTAGTAAGGCTCTCAAATAAAGAATGGTGCTACATACATGTCTGAAAAGCTGTGTCATTCTTTTTTTCAAAGTGGAAACATCTAAAAAAAAAAAAATGAAGTGTCATTACAGAGCTTATTTTTTTCTGTAACCTTCTGAATATCTGAAAACGGTCTTTAAAGGGATAGTCAGCCCAAAAATGAAAGCTCTGTCATGTACTCACAGTAATTGTCATTCAAACTTGTAGGACTTTTCTATGTCACACAAAAGAGGATAATTTAAAGAATATTCAGAATCTTCAGTTCCATCGACTTGCATTCTATTTATTTTTTATTTTTGGTCCATACAATGGAAGTCAATGGGAACAGAAACCATTTAGCTACCAGCATTCTTCAAAATATTTTCTTGTATGCTCTACCAAAGAAAGAAAGTCGTACAGTTTTGGAATGACACGACAGTGAATAAATGATAGCGCTTTCACAGACTCTCCCTTTGACACCTGAAGTTTGACACACCAGTACAGCAGTTAAGTGTGCAGCTGCAGTCGTTAATCTTGCTGCAAAAACACTGATTTTAAATGCTTAAGACTGACAGCCCCACAAATCTGTCACTATAAATCAGATCTTCTCTCAATGCTCAACAGTTCTACTTCAAAGATGAGTGTGGCACCACCTAGTGGGAAAACAGAGATTTGCAAAATGAGACAATGTGGTACAAGTATATATAGTGGTTCTCAACCTTTTGGACTGGATTGTCAAGCACAATTTTTTTAAAAAAGCCCCTCCCATATAAGGTAAGATATTTCTGCCAGTATCGCTATAATTATGACAAAGCAGCTTTTTAAAATAAACTGGGGAACAAACAGAAACTATTCCTTAGGAAGCATTTTAATTAGGTTTGTTTTTATTAATAATATTATGAATATTAATTGCATATTCATTTGAAAGTCATCCTGCAGCCCTCTTGAAAGTTTGCTGAGGCCCTTCAGCCACACTTAAAAGTATATAAATGTCACTGTGTTGACAAAACATCAAACTAAGTGGCATCTGCAAACAAATGAAGCTAAATATTTTTGAATATCAATGTCATTTTCTGAAATTTTCTTTATATAGAGTACAAAGTCATTCATATATTTTTAAGAGCAGCTTAAGTGTCCAAATATTTTACCAATACTAAGTCAAAGTGAATAACCTTCTATGGATCCCTAACAAATCAAGCTTTCATTTTTCATTTAGTGTTGAAAACAATATAATATTAACGCGCTTGATATCAGACTCAATGTTAAGAACTAAAGGAAGGATTGTTAATCATCTTACCAGGAATTTTAGGTGGCGCTCCTCTGTCGCCATAACCTGTAGTTGAACAGTCACATATTTCAAAATATGGTCTAAAAATCATACATTTTTCATAGATTTTGAAACTCATAGAACATATTACATTTCCGTAACACTCACCAAGCTCAGAGGGAATAACCAGCTTCCTCTTCTCACCCTCACACATCCTAAGAGTTAAGAGAAGGAACATCATATGCCAAATAGTCTTTTTATAAATCGAGACATCAAAGATATGACACGGGGAAAGAAAAAAGAAATAAGATGACAAACTTGAACCCTATCACACTCTAGACAGTTTGCAGACCACTAGGCCACAGCATCAACACATGCTAATATATCTAACAGAGTTTCACAATGGCTCCTAAATCTAATCTTTAGAAGACTAACGTTAGGTTCATCTCTTTAAATCCTAATCCTGAATGATGTATGACACAGAATCTCAGATTATCTAGAAACGCAGTAGAGCTGCCGCTCACCCCAACAAACCCTGATCCCAGCCCTTGATGACCTGTCCCGTGCCAAGAGTGAAGGTGAAGGGCTGATTCCTCGGTATACTGCTGTCAAATTCTGTCCCATCCTCCAGTTTCCCCTGCAGATAAAAACAGACAGTTAGAAGACACATTTTTTTTGCCATGAATAATATTTAGGTCAGAACATTCAGACACTTACAGTGTAGTGCATGTTCAACACGTCTCCCTTTCGGGACTTTATAGGACAGTTGTCCACTCTTTTCTTGATTCCAATCTGTAGTTTTTTCTTTTCAGCCCCTTGCACAAGTGCCATGGGGATGGACATCAGAGTGACAGCTAATACCAAATTCAGTCTCATGTCTGTGGAAAAAAGAAACATCAGAGCTCAGAAATGACATGAATGAAATTAATCTCGGACCACAAAACAGTGCTCATCTCTGCGCATGCGTATCTTCTCCACACAAAAGTACACGTTATCATTTAATAGATGCAATAATTGGCTGTTAGAAGCAGAAGCCTTCTAAATTAGCTTACACTCACTCATCTATAAGGTGCATTTTAACTAGCAAAACACTTCCGCTAATCACAGCAGTTGTACCGTGCTGGATTTATTTTAGAGGAAGTTAATTGGATGACGGCTACGGTTTTCGGCTGAATCATGTTTATTAGGAAAATTCGCTTACTGTATCGTGTGCTACAGATTTAGCCGTCTACAAATAGAGACGCCTGGGATAATTATCTATTGTAGTCATTTGAATGCTTAACTGGTAGATAAAAATGCAATTACCTGTAATAAGAATAATACAGTCGTCCCTGCTGAATCTTAGGATGAGTCTTTCATCAGGAAGTGACGTCAGCAGGCCAGGATTGCTTCCTACTAGCTTTGCAAAATTCAGTACGTCATTTAAAGAGGGTTAAGAAATAATAATAATAATAATAATAATAACTATATGTATTTTTAACCTATGTAATATTCAAATAAGAATGTTACTTAATACTACACTGACAAATCAGACGCGGTAATATTACAGGTAGCTTTGAGGAAATACTGGGGTGGTGAAACGGGACTTTTATTTTGTTTGTCGCCACGATTATTGAGCTTGCACCATAGACTGTATAAAAACAGGCTTGCACACATGAGGGCGCTATTTCCTTATGAATTACTTTATTTGTACACCAGGTAAACCCCAGTGATACACTTTAAACACGGTTACAATATTATTATATAGTCGAACCGTTTTAAAGATTAGGAGGGAAATTAGTAAAATAAGTCATTTATTGTGTAGTGCAAAGTGGGTGTCAATGTAAGCAAGATGGTGGCTATATATATATATATATTCAAAAGCAACAGGCTGTCTCTCAATTAACTTTGTATTGTACTGCATTATATGTTTTGCCCCCACTATGAAAATTACAGCAATCTGATCATAAAACTAAGCAAAATAGTAGTAAGCATCTTACTAAGACATCTTATTGGGAGATGTAGAGTAGCAACTGATATTTAGAAATTTGTGTAAGTAGTCTGATATAAAAATCTCATCGAGTTTCATTGCAAGCTATCAGAATTGCAATATATTAATACGATCTGCACAAAATTTGATATTTTTGCTCAGTTTGGGCCTCTGAATAAACCTGAACATTTTGTTCCTTCTCTCGCGTGAGCTCCATATTCTCACAATATTACTACTATATGGGTCATAAAACCCTATCAGATATGATACAAAACATAAAACACATGATTTTTTTTTCTATTTAGATGGTTCTTAAAAGGTTCAATAAACTGCTCCATTAAAAAAAGAAATAAAAATAAAAAATCAGACTATTATTTTATATGACAGGCTTTGAGGGTTAAAACGACAAGTAGCAGAAATCTTTTCAGGAAGAGGTGCACATATTCAACCTCCACCCTGAACAAAAGCATCAACATAATCACTTCATTCATCTCTGTCTGAAGGTTTCTCATTTCAATCCCATGAGTGACATGTGCCTCTACTGTATGTGACTGCAATAAAAAAAAGGTTTCCGTTGCTGTGGGTGACCAAAGGTGGGCAGACAGCCTTCTTCATTCTGTCATTTGACTCTCTCTCCTGTGGCTTGTTTCAGTGAGACGGACTGAATGCTAATGAGTCAGCTGCTCTCCCCAAAATGATCCTCTCCCCACCCCCCCACAAGTGTCTCTTACTGCCCCAATAAATCACAACAGACTCAATCTATGGGCGGGTGTGCGTTACATTTGACCTTAAATTAATAAATTATTACAGGCTTCAGCAGAGGTTCAGTAATCACACTGTGCCTACCAAATGTCGCCATCACAGATTGTTGGTTAAAATTAAAAATGTTTTGACATTGACAAAATTAATTGAAGACTATATATTGCCTCGACAATGTGTTCATGTCTTATCTGAGAATTAAATGCTGCTCCACATTGAGGTACAGTGCTTGTCTGAGTGCTTGCATTTGGAAGTTTGTAACTTACTGTAGCAGATACTGAGCAGGGCAGATACTGACCCAATGGACAAAATACACAAAGACCCATCCTCAAAGGATTTAAAAACACCTTCCCAGGTTCTCCTGTTCTCCTTACTGAGCACAACAGTGACTGCACACTTTTTCTAGTGGCCTTGATTTAGATAGTATTTTTCACCAGTGATATAAAAAGAAAAAGAAAAAAACTAAAAGGCATTTAAAAAATAATAAAATAAATTAAACCCATGACCCTACATAGGACACATTAAAATAAAATAAAATAATAAAATAAGATAAACTGAACTAAACTAAAATAAGAGCATGCACAAGACTGTTCTTTTATGAGGGAATGAACTAGGGTAATCAATCCAAAACTATGGTACAATATAAAATAACTGATTACAGTCATTGAGTAGAAGCGTAAATATTCTAAGTTTATTGCAAAATAATCAGTTAAATACAAATATATAAGTAGTTTGAATGTGAAGGCAGACTGGATTGTGGGAAGCATATTCACTGTATTTTCAAGGAAAATTAAATGAATTGACTTCTACATTCACTTGACATTCTTGGAGCTCACGGTGAGTCTGTTTTGAAAGCTTTGTGTGTTATTTTTATTGTTAAAAATCAATTTCTCTATGAAGAAAGTGAATTTGATTTATACTTCTGTAATCTTATTGTTGCACTCTATTGCATTATGTGTTTTTGTGTTTCTCTGCTTCCTGTATTCATATTGTGTGTCCTTGCTAGCACCCCGAAAACCCATGAACATCAACACAACAATGCTGTTATACATATTTTCCCAAACACGGTGAAGCACGAGCTAGCAGAAGATGACCCTTTCAACACAAACAAATCTTTGCGAATGACTAGTCAAGTTCTGGAGTCACGAGTGATGAATTTTAATGAAAGCAACCACATAAAATCCTGTCTGGTAGCTGAATGTGCTCTATCTTTCTATATGGCGAAATAATGTAACAGTCCAGAACAAGAGTTATTTTACTGGTGGGTATGTTGAAGTGCTTTAGTAATTTGTTTTGTTTAATCAGAACTTGTAAAATGCCTTCAGCAAATGTAACTACACACAGACTGTGTACAATGCATACAGAATTGAAAAGATGAGAAGAGGTTTGAGCACATGTTCTTGAGAAAATAAAGTCAGAACAGACTCATAGTGCTACAGGTTCTAGTGAGAAGGTAAATAAAAGCAGTATAACAGAGGAAGGTCACTAGTAGTTCTTGAGAGTAATGAAGCTGTACAGGTCATTGATTAGACACAGGTGATGCAGGACCTGTAATATGGTTCATGTTCCTGTTGCAGTGAACCAGTGCGGCCCAAAGCAGACGGTGACTAATCAGTTAAGAGTACCTCATGATAAAATTGTAAAATCACATTGGCGAGAGAGACTGAATTTACTGGGCTGGTGCAGGAAGCACACTGATTTCTGTGCCCTTCGTGATAATAAATGTGCTGATGATGTCCTCTTCAAGATCTTGAGAAATAATTTGGTCCACGAAGGAAATGATCTGCTTCAGTGGTTTTGAAATACTCTTTATGGCCAAAAGTATCTGGTGACTGCATCTTTTAGGGGGGCCCTGTGGCCACTGAGATTTCAACAGAGGGAGACCCTTTAATGATAATTTTATTTAATGTTGCAATGAAATGAAAGTTGTGACGTACAAATGAGTGCAAAGGATTATTGTAAGTAAACAAGAATCGGCATACTGCTGCTCCCAAAGATCAATTTATTAAAAATTTATGAAATTATTTTTTAATAAATTGATCTTTGGGAGCAGCAGTGGCAGTGTGCTGATTCTTGTTTACTTATAGTGAAGTGCTTCATTTGATTGAGCGCCTGTCTACAGTTTCTGGATGTGCACATATTATATTTTTTCGAATGCAAAGGATTATTTAAAAAAAAAAAAAAAAAAAAACGTATGGCAGGGACTTGGTTTTATATGCATCAGATGTTGATTGGACGTTATACTCCAAAATGTAGGCAGATGAACAAACATTTTCACTAGACGTTCTAGGTATGAATAGAATAGAATAGAATAGAATAAAAAATAAACATGGATGAATTGTTCACAATAAGATCTATAACATCTATAACAAAATGTACAGTGAATTTAGGGTGATAGGCTGAATTTTCATTTCATGCTGACTTTAATAATAATAAATAATGTAATATTATTTAAAAATGTATTTATTTTTCATTCACTTAAAATTAATTTATTTTATTTTATTTTATTTTGTTTTTTTATTTAGTGGTGGCAGGGTTTAAGCAGACAAAAGATTGGAAGTAATGCATATTTAGGGGCCAAGTACTGAAGGTGCAATGACACCTATTTGATCTGTTTGTATTCTTCTTCTTCCGCTCTGGAAGTCTATGGCAGCCCATAGAACCACTTGCGGAAAGTTATGAAATTTGGCATACAGATAGAGGACAGTCTGATCTGTTACCATAGCAAGTTTGGAGTCTCTAACTCAATACCTCTAGCACCACCAACTGGCCAAAGTTGCACTTCTATTTATGCTAATAACTTTTGAACCGTAAAGTTTAGATTAAAATTTTTTTTCCCCGTCTGATTCAAAATGGCTTTTTGAATTCCTTGGCTCATGCAGAATCTAATGCACACTAATATTTAAAATTCTACGGGTCAAGATTTTTAGCAATTTTTAATAGTTTGAAAAACCTACTTTTTCGAAGTTGTCCTAGACGGTTCGTCTGATTTTCACCAAAATTGACTCAGATCATTTTCAGACCATGCTGGCAAAAACTTATGGAATTCAAGTTGACTAGTCAAACAGTTCTCGAATAACACGCGAAATTGATGTCAGGCTATATCGCCACATCGCTTTAGTGCATTGAGACCAAACTTGGTGTGTGTTATAAGAACCATGACCTGAGGCTACCTGCATAGTTTCGGCGCAGCGCCACTTAGTGGTCAGGAGATATTAAAAATGCCTATTTTTGCTTATAACTTCCCACGTCAGCCATTATGGGCGTCGGCCATTTTGAATGTTGTCGTAAAATGCTATATTTTATGAACGCGTTGGCATATCATTACGAAACTCCGTATGGGTCTTTGGCACCATGCCCTGATGGTAAGCAAAAAGTATCGGAGCAGCGCCACCTTGTGGTCAAAAGTTATAATGAAATTTACAAAAATGCTAATAACTTTTGAGTATGTTAGCCTATTGTAATGAAACTTGGGCCTTGCCAAGAACATAGATACCAATTTTACCATAGTCAGCTGAACTCCCTGTCCACCATTTTATGTTGAAAACCTACTTTTTTGAACTCCTCCAGACCATTTGTCTGATTTTCACAAAAGTCGAGTCAGATCATCTTCAGACTGTGCTAACAAAAAGTTATGGATTTTGTGTTTCGTAGTGCAGCTATATTTTCTTTTCA